CGCTTTGCCCTCCGGCCGCCGCCATTCTTTACTGCCCACGGACACCCTCCCAGGCTGAGCTCATGGGTCCTAGTTCCATGCTGGAATCAGCAGCCGCAGCTGCCTTGAACAGCGTTGTGCTCGGGCGCAGCGTAAACAAGCCACAGCGGTGCGCCACAAGCCCTTTTGCCCCCCCCTCTCTCTCTCTCTCTCTCTCTCTCTCTCTCTCTCTCTCTCTCTCTCTCCATCCCTCCCCCACCTCTCTCCTCCAATCTCCCGCGCTGCGAACCGGCGAAACACAGCAAAGCCCAAGGAGGCGGCTCTCCACTCGAGGCCCCCCATCTGCCCCATTGCCGCTTCGCCGCTCCACCCCACCCTCGTCCTGCCTCGCTTCTCTCCAATCTCGCTTGGCCTCGGCAGCGCAAACACTCACCCGGGTGTGCACTCTTGGTAATGGCGCCGCTCGGCGTGCTCTTCTTGAGCGTGTAGACGCGCTTGCCGTGCGCGTCGAGCGTGTACATGAGATGCATGCTGGCGCGAGAAAAGGTGAGGTGGGGAGTGCGGGTGGAGAGGAGAAGGAAGCGCGCGCGCCGCCGCCGCCCGAGCCGCGCGGCGGCCGGCAAGCTCGAGAGGGAGAGGCAGGCGCGCACGTGACGCGCTTGACAATTCTGGCCGGTGCGCGCTGCCGGCCGAGAGAAAGTGGCGCGCTTGCAGCTTCCAGTTCGCGCGGCGCGGCGTGGAGGCATGGCGCTGCTTTGCACCTTGCTTGCCTTGCTCCCCCTTCACCTTTGCCCATCCTTTTCCCCTCGCTCGCTCAGTCGCCATGCTGACGCCGCACTCGCCCGCGCATCTCGAGCTGCTCACTTTCCTCTCCGACGAGTCGGCCGCGGCGCGCCAGGTGGCGCTTCAGAACCTCGTCGGCTTCTCCTCGGCCGGCCATGCCTCGCGCTCGCTGCTGACGGAGAAGCACAAGGGTCTGGATGGCAAGCCGCTCAAGGGCAGAGATGGAGAGGAGTGCGATACCATTGAGGATCTCAAGAGACTCTGTGCCGATCAGCCGGTGAGTGAGGGTGGAGACGCGAGGCAGTGGGAACGCAAGGCGCTGATCATGGGAGGCACACAAGATCACCGCACACGATGCCTTCAGCGCACTCATCAATCTCTCCGACTCGCTCCTCGTCGCGCGCCGCATTGCAGACGACGATTTTCTCGTCTTTCTCGTGCGCTACATTGCCGAGCCCATTTCACTCTTGGCCGATCTGGCCTCGATGCTGCTCTCCAACCTGACGAAACTCGAGTCCATCGGCGCGCGTCTACTCGCACTGCGCGTCTCCAACATTTCGCTCCATGCCCAGCCCGCAGACTCGCTCCTCGCAGGCATCGACGCCGATCCCTCTTCGGCATCGTACGAAGCCGAGCGTGCCGCGGCGCTGCTTGCCGCCGAAGAGATGCGCGGACAAAGTGTGCCGGCCCTGGCGCGCCTGCTGGATGCGTTTGAACAGGGCGCCATGGTCAAGGGCAACTCGGGCATCGAGGAGATTCGAAAGAGGGCACTGGCGGCACAGCAAGTGGGCGACGAGGCAGAGCAGCAGAGCAACCGGCAAGAGGCAAAGAAGGAGAGAAAGTCAAACTGCCACTTCCTCAGCAGTGTCTTTGCCAACATCACCGTGGTGAGTGTGACAAGCCCACGTGTGTGGAAGCGCGCCAAGGGTGGGGAAAGGTGTGGTGTGTGGCTGATGAAGCCTTTTCCTTTTGCCGTCGAGCCCAGATCCCGGCGGGCAGGCAGTGGTTTGTCTCGCCCCTCGACTCTGCTTGCGCCGCCGCGTCGAGCTCCGCCGATGCGGCCGTCGAGTATCCCGTGGCTCGCATCATGCCGTACACCGAGCATCCGGACTTGATTCGTCGAGGCGGTGCCATCTCTGCTCTCAAGTACGTTGTCTCGTCTCCCCCGGGATCCGCTCTTCTCTCTCGTTCCAAAGGAGAGAGAAAGAGAGAGCTGACTCTCGCGCTCGCATGACTCTTCGCCCAACAAACAAACGACAGGAACATTCTCTTCCTCAAGTCGTCGCACAAGCTACTTCTCGCGCCTCCTCCTTCGCTCGGCGACGACGACTCCTCGACGCTTCTTGCCGGCGCTCTTCGCGCCACGACGCGGCCGCCTTCGCCGCTCGACATTCTGCCGCACCTGCTTCTGCCGCTGTGCGAGGGGCTCGAATTGGCGGCGGTCGATCTCGACGAGCAAGAGGCGCTGCCCGAGGCATGCCAGATGCTGTCTGAGGACAAAGTGCGCGAGAGAGATCCGGCACTTAGAGCCATGCTCGTCGAGAGTCTGCTGCTGCTTTGCACTACACTCTATGGACGACAGGTGCTGCGATCTAGAGGCGTCTATGTCGTCGTTAGAGCCATGCATTTGAAGGAGGATCAAGAGAAGGTACGTGGGTCCATCCCCCCCCTCCTCTTCCAGAG